GCGGTTGGCTGGTGGGAAAATATCTGAGACAGGAAATTCCTTGGCACTATGACATTATATTAGACCTCAATAACCTGGTCAGCGCTGGGGTTCATGCTTTCTTTTTTTTTTTTAAAGGTCTACATGTAAACTTCAGCTTTAAAACTATGCAGACAGCTAGCTGCATGGGGTTGGCTCTATAGTTGTGTTATAACCTCAAAGGCATTCATGATGTGGATCTTCAAAAACCAGATGTGAAATTCCACTAATTCCTTCAGAGTTTTGTTCCATGTGCGCTTCTGAATGCGAGCGTATAGATGTGTGTGTTGAGTGCACTGCTCAGTGTATTCTTTAAATAATGTAAAGCTGATGTGACAGCAGCCACAGAGAAATAAAACGGTCACCTGCAAACCCCAAACAGCCATGATTAATCACTGTAAACTGGCAAATTGCTTCATGATGCCGGCATGAAAACCTCTGTGGTCGCGCATGTGTGTGTGTGTGTGCGTGCTTGTCATTCAGCCTGTATGAGTGATGAAGTTATTACACTTTGCCACCAAAGAGGAATGTGTGGCATGCATGGGCATTACTGTGAGGGAGTGTTTCTGAGGTAATGCAGCCCGCTTCTCTCCAGGGGGTTTGCAAAAAATCAAAAAGGCCAAATTAACACATTTTGTGACATTTGTTACCAGAAACCAAATTCAACCAAAGAGAATTTCTTTTATGAGACTACAATAAGGCTGACAAGTCATCAGCTAAAGTGGGCAATTTTCTTTTTTCCTATTTTCTTTTCTTAAATATAAAACCTGTCAGACGTGTGCCAGTGGCAAAAACTAAAACTATAAGCGAAAAGATATATTTAAAAAGAAAAGAAAGGCAGAGACCAAATGTTTGCAAAAAATCCTAATTAAACACAGCCGATTAGCAGAAAGAATTTAACATAATGCTACATGTTATAATGGTGTTCTGCATCATGCGTTGCTAACACTTTCCTGTGGAACCCCAAATACATAAGAGTCTGATCTTTACAGTGCTTTTGTGTGCTCTGCAGTGCTATTCATCAGTCTAGATAGTTATGCTGTACTTTGGCCAGTTTTTGAGATATTGGCTTTAGAAATGTGATGCAGCACAGCAAAAGGCAGCCAAGCATGAAGACTGAGAATCCAAAAACAGCTGAGCAATGACGCAATCAAGAAAAAACACATTCTTTACGTCACCATCTGCAGACATCTCTCAAAACTATGATCAAAAAACGGTTTATTGAACAGTTTCTGATGCATAAACTGCAAATAAACAACTCAATATTTTGCCCCAAGTCCTTGTCCAGCAAACTTTCTCATCTATGAAGGGAAAACACTCGGCTCGGGTGCAAAGTGGACCAGCAAAATCTGTCCCCTCTTAGTGAGGCCAAACTGGAAACACTGGAAAAACTGGACTGTGGCCATAGCACAATTTAATTTAAACATAGTGGCGCTTTTAATCAAAAGTACAATGCTTTATAAATAAGTTGCCACGAACTAAACCACATTTATAACTAAAGCTTTTTGGCATATTCATAAAGAAATGTTAAAATTTTATGACATGCTGTATTAAAAAAAGTAAACAAATATTGGACTTTAGCCTGGTTGTTTTTTTTTTGCATGCTCTGTCTGCCTTCTTTTGGATTTAATGAAAACTCAAGACCAGTGTGATGGCACAGGGAAAAAAAGGGAAAATCAGCAGGAATGTCTTTATCCAGAATTCATGATCTGCTTACTTAAAGACAAAAAAAAAAATCCCCACAAACTTTGCTATGAGCAGTTACCTACAGGAACTCATTTCTTACTGTATACATCCGCCTAATGAGAGGAAGGCGCAGCTACTGTAGCTAGTCGCAGCTATTGCTGTCAATATTTACGTCTTGTAACACTGTCATGAATAGATGCATGCAAGTTGGTAGAAGTTGGTTAGAAAGAAAGTTCCGACATGAAACTCGATACATTAAATGCATTTTTTGGCTGTTTGAGCATCATAAGGCAGCTGGACTGCAATATATTCAAGAGCAATCAGACAGATGATACCTGGCAGCTGGTATCAAAAGAATCTAGATGGATAAAAAGCACTGCAGGTCACAGAACAAAAAAAAAGGCTGAATTGGGCTGAATTGGCCCTTTGAGCACACATATTTTAAATATCTAAGACCTTTATGCAAAAACCCGTGGACACCATGTCTGAATGGCCCTCAGATTTATTTTCTTCTAGCCTGTCTGAAGAGCACAGCGGTTCTGCTCTGGTTATTTTTACCTGCGGTCCCTGCCACTGAAAGGCACCACGTGGATCCCCAGGGGCCCACCGTCGTTTGACACCTCCACCAGTTTGACAATGTCTCTGGGATCGGAGACGGATGAATGACAGAGAGAGACGGGGGTGGGTAGGTGGGGTTGGGGAGGAGGTGTGGGGTGGAGATCAAAGGAGAGGGGTGACACCATGTGGGCAAAAATAAAAACAGGAAATGAGGCAATGAAGACAGAAACATTATGACAACAGCACAGTGGTGCAAACAAACAAATAAAAATAGAAGTCAGAGGAGACAAAAAGCACAATAAAACAGAGCAATCCAAAGAAATCAAAAACATGTACGGGAAAACAAAAAAAAAAAAGGTTTTCAAAAAAACCCTCACACCCCCAATTCGGACTTAAGATGCTCTTCAGAGGATGTAATGAGACAAATGCAGTGTGTTTGCTTTTTGGGGCGTGGGACCTTAATCCTACGACACATTAATATCTGTGGAGTGGAAAATTGCCCTTTCAAAGCCGGAATTAAGCTGCATGTAAGCGAATGGGTGCTGTTTGAAGATGTACACAGTGGGGTAGAAACTGAGTGTTAATTAGAAAGTTCCTAAACCAAATGGTACAGAAAACAATCAAGTCAAAGCAATGTAACCACACCACACAGACACATTTAACATCCACTTATCCAAGAAAGAAATATGTCAAAATTTGAAATTTAACACTGTAGCACTAATAAGTTCCCTAAAGAGGAATTCAGCTTCATCTGCTCTGCTGGAAAATCTCTTCTGGCAGCACTCTGCTGAAATGCACAGTCAAACTTGGCAAGAAAAAAAGAGAAGAAAGGAAGCAACTTCCTGACAAGATGCTGGATCAACATATCAGGTTCCTTGAGAACAAATGGTACATGTTACTCAGATTTGAGAGGTGTGTGCATCAGCGACTTGACAAACAAGATATGTTTGTGCATCTCTGCAGAGGTAGGTTTTTTTTTTTAAAAGCACGTCTGATGTCCTTGAGTAAGCAACACAAACCAAAACGTTCCAAAAAGTTGTACAAAAAGCTCAAATTTACTGATGTTTTTGGCTTTTGCACGTAGAAACTGAAAACAGCGACGGGGGAGACCTAATAATGAAAGAACTGACAGAAAGTTGCATTCTTAAAGCATTTATATGTAAATTAATATGTGCTGATATCCATTTAAAAGCAAAGAACACCCAAAACAGTTCCAGCTATTTGCATTTCTGAGGCTGACCATACACTGGCAAATATTATAAAGATGCAAGATCTAATCCATCCACAGCTTTGATACAACGACTATGATTAGCCCAGGGAAAATGGGCCCCTAACTGACAACTAAGAGGCAGGAGAAACCAGAGTCTCTGGGAAATCACAGGAATAATAATACCATACCTGCATATTAAACTGGAAGCATGCAATGGAGCAAAATAACAAAACAAAACACAGTTGTTAATAACAGAAGCTGAATGGGTTAGTGCGTGGGAGAGCTCTGATGGCGAGACGAGGATCATTTTGCTCCCACAAAAGAGAATTATGTAAATCAGAAAGCAGGGCTGAAAATGAGATTTTCGACAAACAAACCTCGGCTACAATATAGAACCTGCTGCTTTAGCTTTTAAGTGCCTATTATGTGAAGAAAGCATGCGGAGAACAGATTTACAACGGTCAACTCTGAAGAGATATTCTAGTCTCGAACAACCAAAGTTGTTACTTCTTCCTGTTAGGTTGTGTCCATCATACTTAACACTGCACGTACCAGGTTGCTGAGATGAGGAAACAGTATTGCAGTATTAGCAAGACATCAGGCGCTGGCTTACAGAGGTGTGGCGACACCACGAATATTGTAAGTTTCAGCCAATACATTTAGTTTAAACACACATAATTCAATGTATAGTGCAATTATTGACCAGCAAAGGTTGAATGATTATCTGGTCAGAGTCACTTGGAGAGGATGAGATTGACAAAGCTGCGCGTCCTCTACAACCATCATTCTAGCGAAGTGACTTACTCTAGTGACCTCACAGCAGTGTGGTCAATGGAGTCAGCTCGGCCAACAGGCTCGATCCGTCCGTTTTCTTCTTCTCTTGCCGCTTCCTCCTGGAACGAAACAAAAGGAGAAAAAAAAAGAAGAATTTGGAGTGAGTGACACTCAAAAAGCACAAGAAGACTTGAGCCTGAATCTCTTTTACATAAACAGATTAATGTGAAACATTCAGCTCAGCCACCAGATTACAAGTGTGAGGTAGATGAATCCTGTTTTAGTTCAACGACTGAATGATGTCCATACGACTGTTGGCAACACACACCCATGACTAAATGTCTGCAGGATGAAACCGCATACACAATTTTCCAGTTTTTCTTGCCAGCCAATGAACTGGTTGACAGTCACTCACATTATCTATGCTTTACAGAAAAATGATGTTGTCAACAGGCTACACAGCATTTTCTGCCACTCCAGTTGGTCCATATGTCACACTGGGCACTCGTGCTCGGCCATGAGTTGGCCAACGTTCACGTCAGTTGAACGCAGTCCAAGAAGCGTATGGTTTCTCACAGACCTCAGAGATGTGCGGCTATGATCCAGCAGGAGGTTTTTAAAGACAGACTTCAGAGATCAGGAATGCATAACCGGCGTGTCAACGTGTTGAAAATGTGTCAAGTTAGAGAACCGAACCTCCGTTATATCTTCAGGACCTAGTGTCGTTTCCTAGTTGGTACAACAAACACATAAGACCACGATCAACGCTGCTGGATTAGGCCATTTATGAGCCAATATTCCTCACCCATCTTGTTTCCTGCCTTTCTGTTTGCATGCCGACACAAAAACAGTGCCGTCCACCACCCAAAAAGTCTTAAATGCAAACCTGATGTGGCCAAGAGGAGCAGACCAGAGGAGGTTTTCCACAGCTATAAAAATACATGCCCTTTACAGCCGTACGCCATCAAAATTACATCGCCTTTGTTCTCTTCTTGTATTAACTGTGGACACTTTGTGCGTGTCAGTTTGGACAGGGAACTTGACATTCATGACACACACGCGTTCACAAACACACACAAGGTGCACCGAGAGGAGAAAAATGAGAAGCAGAGAAAGAAGGTCATTAAAATTTCAGGGCGACATTGGAGAGGAGAGAGGAGCGAGCGGCCGCAGCAGCAGAGGCGCAGGCCTCCCCGGCAACTGGCCTCATCAGTATGAAAATGAGCCTGCTGTTACCGTGGCTGCCGTACGGTTGCCATGACACTTTGGTTGCCTTGAGGACATGGAGCTACAGGGCGGCATACGAGTGTAAGCATGAGTGTGAAGAACTTTCGGCTGCTGTCTTTTAATTTAAGTCGTCTTCTGCCAGCCCGAAGTGCTGACTGTAACAGTGAAAACAGAAAAGTCAACAAATGTGACAAATGCAGTATACGCATTATTTCCAAACAGACAAAAACCTGAATTTTCAATGACTCTAGATAGTTAGAAAAAGTTACAGAAGATTAGATCTTAATTAAATGTCTTTTTATATTTACAGGGATACACACCTGGGACTCTGAGGACTTACATTTCTTATATTTTACACCTTGTTTTGTTTTGGTCTATGCCATCCGGGGACCAGGTTAGGAATAAGTGTTCAAACACTAATGACTAATGCTAAAATCTAATGCGTCTCATACTTGGTGAAATCGTACAATTCTGCCCACCTCTAAATTTCCCAGTGCACTCCCAGTCTTCCTGCTAATAAAGTGTGTTCAACTTTCACCATGGAGCTTCAAACCAGACAACCTCTGTGCCAAACTGACCCAACTTTAATGTCAGGGCCAATCGCTGGCGATTTGACTAATACACTGAGACAAAACCACACTAGGAGCATAAGCATTGCTTTGCACTGAACTTTGCACCCTGAATTCTTCCAAAGGTTAGTCCATCAGCACCAAGATTTACTTTAACCTCATGAAAAACCTTTGGCCAAACCACCACATACAATTATTTCATCATGCAGTGGGAAACATTGATGAAAAACAGCATCTTTTACACCACATGAGCAAAACCACTGCTGACCACATTGCTTTTAGCAAGATTTGGTTTGGTCACAGATTTGGCTACCTGTGACCGTTTTCTATTCTAAATTTGAAGAGATGCATAAATCTTAAAATTTTTGATCCATAGACATTCAGCTTTCTGTTTCAGGATTGAGTTTTACTTCATATCAGCTTTGGCACTCGACTTCCCTGCCACGTATAGCAGTGATCATCACACATCAGCTCCTTGTTTCAGCGTCGAAAGAGGCTTTTTCTAGCCCTCTAGCAACTGTTCAGAAAATCCCCTACCCAAAAAAAAAGTACTGCTTTGCAAAAATTGTAATTGTAATTGAGTATTGTTGTTGCGCTAACAGCAGAAGAAATGTTTTGCAAGAAATAAAAAAGGGCTTACTTCTAAGATTATTTCTGAAAACCCCTGAATCCCCCCAAAACAAGGTATTGAAAACATCATCATTAGTTAGTGTAATAACACAAAGTATAAATAACATGTGCTTTTTACATCGAAGCCATTAGCCAGCTAACCTCTCCATGCAACATTTATTTAGCATCCAAGTCAACTTTTTATTCATACCACTGACTCTCTGGGTTTTTGTACAAGACATGATATATACTACATACAGTGCAGAATAGCGCAGGACAGTCTTATAATGTCTCATCGCTGTTTTGCCCAATTTGTGTGTGAACAAGCTGTGCAACACAATGCAGTTTACACAACCACCACCAACATTAATATAATTAATTTATTTAAATGATTGGAATCACTGATCTTCCATCACATATGCATCGATAAACAACAGCAAACATGTTAGACATGCTGACAGTTTGTAATCCATCCATCCCCCTTACAGTAGTGCAGCACTTACAACTTAGACAACTGCATCATAAATACAATAAAGTTTCAGTGCTATATTCTGCAACTTTTAGTGTGGCTGTATCTAATAATATTCACTATTCTCTGCATCATCAAATGAGAAATTTAGTTCAAAAATGGCTCAATGAAGAAGAATATTAAAGTGTTCTGCCTCAGTCTCCTGGATACAGAGTTGATAATATAAGCACTATGGGGAACACTATAAAGAAGCCAGAGTGGCTCTTAAAAGAGCTCTCTCTGATCGGTGGAGAGAAGCACCAGATTCCAAGTTTTTTACATCATCATAAAGAAGTTATGTAATAATAATAATATTTTAAAAGAGAACATTCCTAATGTGTCATTTTGACATCGCAGAAAAACTCTTCTATAAAATGGTGCAAACCTATGATCTAATCATCCACTGAATATTTGCCAAAACCATGCAGCCTTGTTCATGTGCACATTAGAAAGAAAACACACAAAAACCAGAGCAAAAAACCCAGCAGGCAGAGAAACAATAGCACCTCAAAGCGCCTAATCCTAATACTATTCAACACTTATCAGGAGATGAGAAAGTGAGGCAGGGGGACATCAGAGGGGGGAGAGGAGTCGCTATCTGGGGAAGACCAAATGAGATCCACATTCATCACAGCACACGCTGTTTTATTTCATTAGAGGAACAAAATGAGAGACATTTATAAAAGGCAAAGTGTGCCGGGAAGAATGTATTAACAACATCATATTATTCATTCATGGCAACTCCCATGGGCTAGTGTGCATAGATGGATTTGCCAGTTGTCGTCAAATAACATCAACACAATAGAAAGTTTACTAGTGAAACATGGATAACACCATCTGCTAATGAACTTTCTGCGAAATGACTGAAAGCTTCAAGAGAGAGGAAGGGAAGAGGCGTGCAATTAAAAAAAAAGGAAGTAACAAACAAAAAACTAGTTTTTCCTCAGACAATTTTGGCGACAACTTGATTCGACCAGTTTAATGGAACAAATATTTTTTTTACTTCGGCATCCTTTTCAGAAGTCCAGCTGGAGACACTCTGAGAGGCATCGCCACACTTTGCAAACCACACAATCAAGACGTCGCCCATTCCCGTTGCTGGGAGGGGGCCGAGCGAGCAAAGCAAAGGATAGAAGCATTAATAATTCAGGGTCGAGTTGGGGGGTTAATGGCTAGCAGGCAGACAGGCAGGTACGAGGGCCGGCGGCCGATGTGTTTTCCAGCCGAGTCATTGTTTGTTTCCTGGATGTGGAAAAGTAGAGGCAGGCAGGCAGTTTTCAGGCCCGGGGGCTCATTAAAGATTAATAGGAGAATCCATTGGGGTCTGTCCTTTCTATCTCTCAGACTAAATGAAGTGGTCTGCACCTGGTGTGTATGCATGGGAGGGAGACTGAGTGGAGTATTGCTGCACTTTAATGAAGTGTTGCCCACTCCCCTGTCCTGCCACTTTGACCATGCTGTCACTTACGAACTGATGCGAATGCACACATAAACACACGCAGACAGATAGAGGAGTGAGTGTTATTTGCAGAAACGAGAACAACTTTCTGAAGACGCTAACACAAATCTGCAGAGACCAAATGCAAACATTTTGACGTGGCAGGAATGTTAAATGCGGCGGTGAAGCGTAAATGTTTAAAAATCAGTAACAACCGTAGTTACAGTCATTTGTGGCATCGTACCTGGATCCTTTCATTTCTTTGAAACTCGCATTAAAATTTTAAAATCCCGTTTAAATATGAATGATTGTGTCTCCGGAGTACGGAAAGTTTTTGATCATTAGGTTTGATGTTAAAGCTGCCCTTCATAGCGACAACCTCTGAGAAAGGCTTCACAGGAAGTGCTTTGAACTGGTGGAGCGGTGAGAAGCGCTGATTTGCTTTGTCAAGCTGACTGTTAGCAGTGCCAATTAAGACAAGTCAAAGTTTAAAAAAAGAAAAAAAAGAATGATACAAAGTGGCGCCTCACATAAAAATCAATCTTTGCAAAATGCTGCATTTTTAAGATCAGTAAAAATAAACAGCAGGTTTAGGAATAATGAAATTGCCTTTATGATGGCCTTTAGCAAAGTATAAATAAAGCTTTATATGCACACAGGCAGGCTAATCAGACATTCTGCTCTTGGCAATTTATTTTTTAGATTTTAAAAACAGAATAAATAGACTATATCAGGCTGCCTGTGTTCAGTTGCAACCGCTGGTCAACA